TAGTTTTAAAACTGCTGTCTAAATGATTCATCAGAAAGCGCTTGCCACTGATATGGTTAATGATCGAGACGTCGATAAAAGGAAAGTCACAGATGTTTGCTTATGAGAAAGTTTCTGCAATAACCCCGTCAGGTTCAGGGTATTGGCTGGAGGCAGTCTGGCGTGAAAACATATGACGTCATCGTTTACAGCCTATGGCGGATCTGGGGTCGACACGGCATGTCGGCACTCCAGGATGTTTAACGACTCAGATGAGATGACGTAAGTCGGGCAGCTCCCGAGGGAGACTGTTCACCAGGTGGCACACTCCTCTGATGCCCGTCGTTATGCATTCAATGGGTGAAGCGGACCACCACTCGAGAACTGTTCGTGCTATCACTTACCAATCAATATTCGCATCACTCGAAGACGGTGTCAGTTGCTAGTGCTTGAGCAGCCTAATGCGTAATCCGCCCCCGTTCGCCTTGAAGCATTTAGTCGTCACGGATACCGAGCTATTAGCGTTAACCTTGTAGAGTTGGAATTATTTTTGGATTTTGAAGAGCTCCGTTAGCAACAGAAATCAATGAAGAGCAAGTTTAACCCGCGCCCCAATGGGGGGGGGGTCTATTTATAGCCCCCCTCCCGTTTTTCTGCAATAACTTCCAAACCACATGATGTATCGACGCCAAACTTTCAGTACCTTCGGCTGCATCAATTTAACACCTTGTGTCAAAATCTGAATTTCGTAGCTACCATAGGTCGGCCGGAAATGACGTCAGAGTGACGTCATGTTCGGCCGATTTCGACGCAAAACATTGAACCACGGCAATCGCTCCCAAGAGCTGAGTTTTTAAGCTAGATCCAATTTCTTTGCATGAAAGGACTAAGAATTGACTGCGCTATCAAACTGCGATCTCGGATTTTCAAAATTTTGAAAATATTGAAAAATTTTATGTAATAATATTCAAAATTTATATTTTTATATTTTTTTCAAAAAGTTTTTGACTTTTCGAAAAAACCGGAATATATGTGACAGAACGCATACTTATGACTAACTCTAGCAAGTTTTAGCTGAATATCTTCAAAAATGGCCAAGTTATACGCATCATTGCTAAAAATTCACAATTATAATTTTTCAAATCAATTTTTCAGTACGTATTTGACATCGTACCCCAATATAAATAGCACCATCGTGTTCCTGAGCTCAAACTGCATCCATTAGACACCTTTTTTGTTGAAAATTTTTAACTTCAAAATTTGACCTTTTTTGACCTGAAAGTGACCTGACCTAAGCTAAATTCGACTCAAAATGACCTCGAATGACACAGACGACATCAGATTCGAAATCTATGGCCTAAATGGACCATAAAACATGTGTCACATGACCGACACATGATATAATATTTCCGTGACCTGTGATGACCTGACCCGGGCTCACCCTGACCTGAAAATCAAAGTACAAGTTTGGTACCCCCAAGGTATCTAGAGCATCTGTTCACGAGTGTGTAAACCAAAAATGAGCCTGATCTGACTCGTAAGACGGCGGCCAGAGTCCAAAATGTGAACAAGACAAAATGCTAATAATTTTTACTTTGACCTGACCTGTGACGTCATCGGTGACCTCGAGGTAAATGAAATTAGGTTTCGTTCGACAGTTTTTCCGGGGCTATCAGACACCGTTTGAATTTTGACGATCGGCCCAGTAGTTTCGGAGTTAGGAGGGGGGGGGCTATGGATAGCCCCCCCCCCCCCCCCAGTAGGGCGTGTTATACGCAGACCCCAGTGGGGCGCGGGTTAATAGAGCCTCATGTTGATTCTGAACACTTTCACGCTGAACATATTTAAACATAGTATTTGAGCATATTTAAGCCTCTAGGCCCTAAACGTGTAGGTATAGAGCATGTTAAAAACCAGTGTCTCCGTAGCAAATTGAGCTTCGATGGTCTTTCCTAAACTCTGATTACACACACACTCCCATGCAGGCACGTAGCCAGGATTTTGCTCAGGGAGGGACCACAGGTCACGGCCTATATGTAGTGTCGTACCCCCTCCAAAAAGGAAAACTCCTCGGATTTCGCCCACTCTTTTTGAGGGTGTGGTGCAGCTGCTATTTATTTTTATTTTTTATTAAATTTTATTTTTATTTTTCTCCTTCAGGGGCCGGGGGGAAGGCCCCCGTGCCCCCCCCCCCCCTTGGCTACGTCCCTGCTCCCATGATGTTTTGGGATCCCCGCTGCTTTGGATTGTGTGCTCTGGCTGCCATTCTGTATCGATTGGTTGTAAGAACGCAAATTAAAGGAATCGACCAATGCAATTTGCCATTTTCATATTAACCCGCGCACCTTAGAACCGACGGGCGGGAGGGTCGGGGGGGGAGCGGATGACCGCCCCCCCCCCCCGAGATCTCAAGAACGAAGCAAGATAGCGACAAGCGGTAAACGGCATGGGGTACGCACGGACACGGTCTACAATTTTTACCTAGGTCATTCTCAGGTCAGGTCAAAGATGACGTCACAGGGGTCAAAAAAGTTAAAATGGCGGCGCTAGATATGGAAAGTTTTTATCGAATAACTTTCGAATTGGTCAAGCTAGGAACAAACTAAGGGCACCATCGTGATCCTCTCGTCAATCCGCATCGACCCATATATATGTTGACCTCGAAAGGTCAAGGTCAAAGGTTGACCTCAGGTCACGTGACCTCGAGGTCATCATGTATATCATTCGATGCGCCTTGACGAGCTGAACACAATGAGACCATCCGCGCGGCTGTATCTTGTTCCTGTAAGGAGTTATTGGCAAAAAAACCTTTGGTGACCTTTGATGACGTCACATGACCTTACACCTGCCCAACAGCAAAACAGGCCTCAAGGTAGTGAAGGTTGATCGTATATGAAGTCATGTATGGTATATGGGGCCATTCTGACGCGTTTTAGTGGAAAAAACGGAGTTGATTTTTCCCCCATTGACTTATAATGGGGAGGTCGAGAAATTGACCTGACCTTAGGTCATTGATATCAAAATTCCGAGATATACAAATTGTAGCTAGCAAGGACCTAATAACATCCTCCGACTTTCAAAGTACTCCGTCATCTACATACTGTAGCTCTGACACGGTGACAAAGTTGCAAAAAAATGACCGAGGTTGGGTCATTCAAAGTGACCTAGTGACCTGACCTTAAAAGTTAGGAGGTTCAAACTTGCACATAATGTGTCAAATTTATAAGAGAATAGTCATACAAAATTTCGCGGCGCTACGCGCCGCGGTTTTCCCGCTATTCGCGAAAAACCTCAGGGGGCGATAACCGCCCCCACGTCGGTGCGCGGGTTAAACAGCATAGTTAAAGCCGATTCACAGTAGCCGTTTTCACGATGTGGAGATGGTACACATTTGGTTCACATTTGGTGCAGATTCGGTGCAAATTTGGTCAAATTAGGTTCATTGCGTTTTTTCGTTATCAGCTTGGGTCGGGTGGGGGCAGTTAATTATGTCATCAATTATATGATGCATATTGAATCGCAACCACTTTTACTTGGACACATTTCCGGCATGACGGCTTGGGCCAGTCTTTCTTCCCGGCGGCGGCTGGAAAATTGGGATGCATGCTGTTCCGCAGCACATCTGAGCCGTGCGGCACAGCATAACTACCAGGCAGACTTTCGTCGGAAAGGGACGGCGTCCTTGGAATGAGCCGGACATGGCCGAGTGAGTGACAAAGCTGAACCAAGCTATGCATGTAACATATCTTGTATATAAGTTCGTAATTGCCAGATTGCCTTTTTGCCAGAGCCTAATAAATCATCAACTATTTTAGTTTCGCCGAGCCGCTTCTAACAATTGTTCCAGTAATTTACCGGCCGCATCATAACCAGCTTAGGATAAGGCAACAATGTTCCTGTGAAATCATTTTTCGTAGACAGTATGTTACAGTCATTAGGTTTAGCATCTAACTCACTCATCGATAACGACGTTCGCATGTACAGCTTGCCTCAGAAGAATTAACTAAAAATAGAAATACGGAACACCCATTATGCAATACGCATACAGAGCTTGCCTCAGAAGAATTTACTAAAAATAGAAATACGGGACACCCATTGGCCATTATGCAATATGATCATCGTTATTTTCCATCGGGCGTACCATTGACATAGGAATTCGGATCAAGTCTAGGTCTATCTGCAAGAGCACGTCTGTCTTGTTCAACACGATCAGAACAGACCCAGATAAAGTAGTTATGTATGCCCAGTCCCACTGCCCACCATTTCCAGCATATAAGCGCTGCTGGACTGGCGATCCTATCTGGAGTCGACATAATCGGACAATGTCGTCTATGCGTGACCACGGCTTAATCAATTTCTCGGTACGTCGTCCGGCTGAGGCCGGACTCGGGTGGCTGGACAATAAGCGCAAGGTCATTGCCGCCGGCCAGGCGAGCTCAGCTCACGTAATGAAGGATTATCTGAGCAGTAGCTAAATTTGACCGGCAAAATACGTACATTAAAAAGCAATGATCTCATGAAACATGACATTGGGACAGCCAGCGCTGATAAGATAGAAATAATAACCATTGGTGATGACAATCTTTCACCGATTTTAGATTGACCGATTGTCTTCGGAGGCACCTCAAGTATATTCAGCCTAAAGCAATTCATTTGTGGAATTCGGAGTTAATAGCATATTTCGATGCATTTATCATGATAAGTGATAATCAAAGTACACTGATTGATGCCCTTTAATGCAGTCGTTGACGAGACCAAACTTTTGAGAGACGTCTAACACAAATTTAATGCACTGATCTCCTGCTGATAAATAAACTTGAAAGCCTAAAAACAATTTTATCGTACTCTACGCACCTATGTTGGTTTATCATCATGGCAGCCTGGCGGCCGACAAGTGGACCCCACTATGTCTTACGCAAACACGGACATTATGTTTACTCAACTCCTGCACGCAGAATAACCGACTCTTGGGAAGGGGAGGGAAGGAGCCCCACCACAGACCACCCCCGTCCTCCACTCACCTGACACTTGCGCGTGAGAAACATGGGCGAGCCGCCGCGCACTGCGCCAGGTTGGCCACCCGCGCCGGGTCCGCCGCCGGCCGCTCAGGGGCGGCCAGACATGACCTGCCGCAACCGTCGCCTCACGCACACCAGTCAGGCCGGGCCCGCGGCGCCTCTGGCCTGCGCGCGCGCTCGCGCGCCGCCACCGCCGCTGGGAGGAGGAGCGGCCCGAGCGCGAGGATCAATAGTGGCGGTGACCGGGAGAGGCGGCAGCGGTGGCGCGCGCCCCTGCCACCCGCTCAGTCCCCACACAGGCACACACAGGCCGGGACCGGCCGACCGGGGTCGATAGGACGGGCTGTGTGGACGGAGAGAGAGAGAGAGCGAGAGAGAGAGAGAGAGAGAGAGAGAGAGAGAGAGAGAGAGAGAGAGAGAGAGAGAGGACAGAGAGAAAGAACAGATAGAAAGGGAGAGAGTGAGGGCGAAGGAGCTCAGGATAGCTCGAGAACCGAACCAACTTAAAAAGCAATAAGTCGCTCATGTATCGATCTTGATTCATGATTTATTGTATGACTGATTGATGGAGGAGGCGAGGGATGGAGGATTGGGCGTGTATATATCCTGGTAGATAGAAGGGATGGAGCTGCTGGGTAAATTAGTGGAAGATTGGGTGTGCTTACTGCCTAGCATGACAAATGTGAGTCAATGAGCTAGTGAGTGAGTGAGTCATATTACCAATGGACGCCACTTGTTCCGTCAACTGCTGTTGCTTGGTCTGTCAAAGTGGGCGATGGCCCGCCTCTACGTCTGAACAATGGATCGTGTTGTTGACCAAGCTGTGTCCCGTGTTGCATTGGTCACCGTTCACCATATATGGCAATGTGAAGTTTGTTGTGCACCGGATGAAACGTGCGGCATTCCACTCTGATAAATGGAGGTCATCTGTAAGGACTCGAGTGTCTCCATGTGCAGAGAGATGAGTGCCGTGATTTAGAATGGGGACATGGCAAGATAGAGATGATAATCCTCTAGCTAACAGTGTTTCAGAGACAGAACTATCGGATTTAGTTTGATGTCTCGATTGCAGGCTACATTTGCGGTTTAAGGAAAACCGGCCTCACCAGTCGATGATACCGCTACTAAACCACGCTCTGCATGCCGCACTGCACGTCGGGAAAGTGTGGTTCTTCCCCTGGCCGGCCAACTGGAGCTCCGTTACCGCAGATTAGTGTCCAGCCAGCGCCTTGCAGCCAGAACAAGACGCCTGCCCTTGTAAACGTGAGCCAAAACAGCGCCCAACTCCTTGGATGAATCGGATTGTATTTATTGTATTGTATTTATTGAAACCGTCAACAGGCACAAAACCCAATAAAAGACGGAGTTAAAAAGTAAAAGCACAAATAACACTAATAAAAAATGCCACATTTATGTACAGGGCTCACCGAGAGCTAAGAAACGCCAATGCACACTTCCTAAAAGATGATCGATTTGTAAACAGATCAGAGCTCGGCATTGTCTGGTATAAGGAGTTGGCTAGGCGCGGCAACCGACAGAACATTCCATTTCTGATCGTTTCAGCTCGAGCCACGGGGACGTGCAAAATTGGTCGTGATCGAGTGAGTCTAGCTGGGACTGCAAAAGCAAACATGCTTACAATGTCAGTCGCATCGAATCTGCCGTTAAACACACCATGTAAGAAGGTAAGATCGTGCTGTAACAGTCGACTTGTGATTCGTTGAACCTTAAAGTGATTGAGCAGGTGTGCATAGTCCAATGAATCAGATGGTATGCTAGAGTTTACGGCAAACCACATTAAAAACTTGTGCTGGACTCTGTCCAGTCGCACTATGTGCGATTTGGCGGCCCCAGACCAGATGACGCAGCCAAACTCTAGTATTGAACGCACATGCGCGTTAAAGGCCGTAATGAGGGGGCCAGGCTTGAGCCTACGACCCGCCGAAACACGAGATGTCTGCACTGATCGCAGGTAAACTCCTAGGGCGCGATTCGCCCTCCCAACGATGCTGTCAATGTGGGATGCAAAGGTTAATTTTGAGTCCAGTATGACACCCAGATCACGAATCTCCGATACACGATTTAAAGTAACGCTATGGATGAAGTATGGCGTCGTAATTGGCTTTGTACGCAGAGAGAAAGTTACTGCTTTGCATTTTTCGGGATTTAGCTTTAGCTTCCAGATGTCAGACCACGTACAAAGATTTTCTAGATCGGTTTGAAGAGCGACAGCATCTTCGGGAGAGCGAATACGCTTACAAAGTTTCAAGTCGTCTGCATACATAAGACATGTTGAAGACATATGCGACGAGATATCATTGCAGAATAAAACGAACAAAATTGGCCCACATATACTGCCTTCCGGCACCCCCGACACAGCCGGCACCCAGCAGGACCTTCGTCCGTTCAACACAACGCACTGCTCTCTCCCGCGCAGGTAGGACTCGAACCACCGAAGAGCAGCACCCGACAGATGGTAGGAATTTTGGAGTTTGTGAAGGAGAAGAGAATGGTTAACACTGGTAAAAGCCGATGAGAAATCTGTGTAAATGACATCAGTCTGGAGTCCCTCGGCAATCGAGTCCCACACACGTTTAACAAGGCAGGCAAGGTTGGTGTTGCAGGAACGACGGGGGATGAATCCGTGCTGAGCCGGGGAAATAACTGGTGACACGTGGTGCAGCAGCTGGTCACACGTAATGCGCTCAAGGATTTTAGAGCAGATAGGTAGGAGGGAAATTGGCCTGTAGTTGTTGGGATCCTTCTTATCACCTTTTTTGTAAACTGGAATGACATGTGCGCGCTTCCATGTGCTTGGAAATTTTCCTTGCTGATAAGATAATGGAGCGATTTCCCGGGAACGGTGAGTGGCGCTTGCCCTCGGCTCGTGAGGTGGCGGCGACGAGGTGCGTGACTCACGGCTGCTAACGAGCCTAGCATCTGATGTCGCGGCGCGGCGCTCGCACCGTCGCCGGCGTCAGATGGAGGCGCGATAGCGCAGCTCGGATCCGTGAAGGCGGCCCGACGACGCGCCGGGCGTGACGGTCCGATCAGCGCCGCGGCGCGCACAGCGGCGGCGAAAGCGGCGCGACGCGCACAGAGCTGGAACGGGCTGTCCGAGCATCCACTGCACCTCAGACTGGACCGGACCGGGGTGTGTCGACGGAGGTCACGACTCGCCCGCAGCCTTGTTGCCAGCTGCATCCTTGCAGCAAAAACGCTCTAACGAGACTGGTGACTCGTTGGCTCACGCGCTTTTTACATTCTTGGTGGCAAAAGCATCTCGTTGAATGCATTTATCTCTGACAAGACTCGGGGATTGCAGCTCTGAAAGTTCAAACATCAAGATAAGTCATAAGTGAGTAACACGTGTGCATTGTTCATCCGTAATAGGACATGATGTAAGAGGGGAGATTCGGCAACAATATGGCCTGTTGTTTAGCAAATTTTCTGTCTGGAGCCCGGCCGATCCGGACCTCATTGTTCTCTCACACAAAGTGATGAGCCTCACAGATTCCAACGCCATGACTTGGAGGCGGGGCATTTCCGACCATTCTCTCCGACATTGGCCGGCTTTGGATATCGCAGGCGCCATTGGACACAATGCGACAAGGAGCAGGTGCCATAAAATGTGGGACATACAGGAGAAGACATGTTAAAAGTGTGTTCCACTGAGTCATGAATGTGTTGAAAACTCATCGCGAATAATGGGACAATTGTCGGTTAATCTAGGGGAAACGGCTGATTTCCGTGGCCTCATTTCCCAAGTCAGCAGTGTTTCAATAACATTACATTATTATATGCAAGCATTATTGAATGCAACACTCTCTTTGATAAAGATGTCTAAAGTGCACTGTCCATGTGATTTGCAGGTAAAACTTTTTCACAACTTGAAGGTCTGTAACGTAAAATTTAGATCTAATTCAGCGAGTTTGTATGTAATACAGCACCATGGTCGCACGTAACTTATATAGCATTTTAGTGTCACTACCCATGCGTCCTTTCTGGTGGCGGAGTCGCTGAAGGCATTCATGATTCATGTGTGTCCGTTCATGAGACATCAATCTCCTTCTCCATGCAACTGAAGAAGATACACACCTCCGTTTCCAGATCATGACCTGCTCGTTTGCACATCTGGAATAATCTACGAGAGTTGACAATAGCAGAGTCTACAAGTTAAACGCGGGCCGAGTGACAGCCCCTAAGCGATCCTGCGATAAGTTGACCAATTGCACCGGGCCGCTGACATTTTTTTTCGCTCATGGTGGTGAGCGTCACAATAGGCCGTTTTCACGACGGCCATCTGGTACACATTTGGTGCACATCTGGTACAGATTAGGTACAGATCTGGTCAAATCGGTTCAGTGTGTCTCTTAGCAGCTATCAGCTAGGGTTGCCCTAATTGCTTATATGCCTGCTTTGTCATATTATCAGAGAGCATCATCGATTAAAACACTGAAATAAATTCATAAAATGAAGATATTTGCTGTAAAAGAAATTAGGTGCAGATTTGGTCAAATCAGGTGCATTCGCCGGATAGTCCGTCGTGAAAACGGCTAATACCTACCGCTTCGTAACCGACTCGACGACGCGTCACCTGTTCGTCCTTCGACTATCGCTCAGGTACAGCGAACGGGTCAGCTTGTCCAGCATTTCTTATGCTTAGAACTTAGAAGGGTTAGCTTTTCCAACATTTCTTACAACCGCCCGGCGCTGTTATACGGCACGCGAATGGAGGCAGACGGGTGAGTCACTTCTGACAAAGTATCGCGTGCCACACTGCCGCACACCCTATTGTCGTGGAAGTGGCCACCCACGGGCCGTGTATGCCGGCACGGGTCCGGAGAAACCGCTCCAACAGCTGGATGGTGGAGCATGGTTCAGGGAAACCGCATGAGATGGCGGACAGGATGGGGCGAGAGGGCGCCGAGCTGCTCAGGAACTGGACTTGACTCTGCTGGGTGTGAGTGGTGTTTTTGCTCGGGCGAGTTAATAGAATTTGCTGCTCTTCAATCTTAAAAGTTAACCCGCGCCCTGGTGGGGTCTGTTTATAACGCGACCTGGTGGGGGGGGGGGGCTATTTTTTGCCCCCCTCGTATCTCCGAAACTACTGGACGAATCCGCAAAATTCAAACGGCGT